AATATTTATTTTAGAAATAAATTTATTTACCATTTTTGTGAAGGACAGCATCAACTGCGTGGCCAATTCCTTGGAAGTCAGCTGCTATTTTTCTTGGATATCCCCTTTCCATTGATTGGGTATTTTCATTGAAACTAAATAAAGTAATTGCATGAAAACAAGAAAGAAGCATGTAATGTTCAATGTTGAAATCAGATGCAATTTTTACTAAATAAGCCTACTCTCATCTGAAAAGCCAGTCACTGCAGCATCTGTGATCCCACAGAACTGTATAAATCCTTGCTGTGTGCATATTCACATCTTTAGTGGCCTATGCAAGTCTGTTTTCAGAACATCAGACTAAATAGTTCACATTCATTCCCTGAGACTGACAATAAGGGTGGATGGGGTTTATACTGAGTAATAAACAATTATACAAACTGAATATTTTTATTTTGCAGCATCATCCAATTTATGAAGTGATCCCATAAATGGAATGTAAATTTCTGGTGTAACATTATTTTTTTAAGATAATATTAAAGATTAATTATTAGGGCTAACATTACTGTCTAGCTGAACTCTCTCTTAAAAGGTAAGTATTTTAATATCCTTCCATAGCTTTCTTGATAGTTTTGTCATTTAAAAATTTCAGAGAGCACTTCTGCCCCTTAATAACTTCTGAATTAATACATGACATGATGATAAAGTCTACTTACATACTTTTTATACTAAGTTCATGTAATACTGCTTCCTAACAAATAAACAAAGCTCATTTGTCTCTTAGTCACAGACTGGTAAGAGTAAATGGATGTTGTTTTTATCTCATGTGTTACAGACTTTGTTCTATAAAAAGATGTGAGTAATTGCCTCTGAGTTTCAGCTTTATACTGGCTGAGAAGGCTGACAGTAAGTGGCCACAAAATTACCATACAAATACTAATGCAACTTGACATTTTAAAAGATACTTTGATTATCTACTGTACAAAAGAGTAATAAGCCTTACCTCCAGTACTTGTTGCCTACAAAGAAATAAGTTTTCTTTGTATTTTGGTCATGAACAGCTGCATCAATTTTCCCAACACTGGTGGGGAAGCCCAGGTTCTGAATAGGCTTGGGGAAGCCTGATTCTATGCTGTAGCCACTGACAGCCCAGTACTGGTTGTCTGCAGGAAAACCGGAAAAAGTTAACAGGGATTCCTGAGGAGGCTGAGCTGCTTTCCATGAAAGTCACAGAGCTTTCTGTGTGGTAAATGCCACCAAATACCATAGATGTCCAGACAAGAACATGCCCCTCTAGGACACACTTAAATTTGAATATTTCAAAGCTGTTGGATTTTCCACTTTTTGTAGTTGTTATAATATTACATACTCAACAGTTAAAACTCAACATATTTTCTAGATGTGTTTGTCACCTTTAAAAATGTTTTTAAATAACCTGATGTAGGCAATTAAATTTGATTCAATTCAATTGAAAAGAATAAGAATATCATACTATACAGGGCTATTGTGAAGCAGCATTTTTTAATGACAGTAACAGCATTTCAAAATGAAGATGGATTTAAATATTAAGAATAACTTCTATTAGTATAATATTACTTCCATTATTATTACTTAACATTAGCAGTACTACTATAACTTTATTAATTCAAAAAAAGGAGTGAATGAAATATAAAAGAAATACCTTTAAAAAATAGCACCCGATCCTTCTTGTCAACCTCATAAGCCGCATCAAAGCCAGCTGTCAGTGATGGCCAGAATGAGGAGATGGTGTCGTGCTCAATGTCTGAGAAATATGGACTTTTGCGCCAGACATAGCTGATAAAAATGAAAACATGAAAAATGAAAAACTGAAAAGGGTTTCACTGTTCAAATTTCACTAGAAGATTGGTAGCACAGAAATGTACTTTAAATACTACTATCTGGATGCCAGTTCTCCCTGTGAGACAGAGATATCACCCCTCCCAAGGTACAGAGCTTCACCCTGCCCTGCCCTCTCATAGGCATTTCCCATTACTACTGGTTACTCTGAGATGCCAAATGGTTGAGGTCGGAAGGGTCCTCTGGAGATCATTTTGTCCAACCCATTGGCTCAAGCAAGGGCACCTAGAGCTGGTGGCCCTGTAGACCCTTCCACTGGCACTCTGATGACTTGTCCAAAACAACACGTGACGTCTGTGGTAGTGTTGACAATTGAAGCTTTGTCTTCACTGTGTCCCATGCAAGTAGACGCAGCTGCATTTCTAATTTCAATTTGTTTATAAACGTTCATTAAAGATTCTTGAGAAACATGTTCAAACCCAGTTTAAGGAGGATCTGCTCCTTTCTCCTTTTTCCTGAAAATTATTATGTTTTTAAGTTATAATTCTTCATCATGTGTTTTAGAAGGGAAATCAGACCCACATCATCAAAGAAAGCTTGTTCAATCAGTACATAATTGCCAAACCAAGAAGTGGGTGAAAGTCTGGGCCTGACATGCTGTTCTCCCTCACCAGGGCAGATGTGTCCAGCCAACAAGTACCTAGTGCCAGAGCATGCCCAAAAGGTGGACATCTGTAACAGCAGGGACTCCCTGCAGACAGTACCGGGCACTGGTCCAGGGTGGACTCCTAGGTCAGAGTGCCACCAAAAGTCACCAGTGACATTTTCCACAGCTCCCTACCCACAGGCAGGATGGTGTGATGGTGCTGCATGCGAAGCAGCTGCAGGCTGAGGAGTGACACTGGGATTATTCAGCATTGCACAATTTTAACAGACATGGGTGGTGATGTATGATGGCTTAAAACATTTTACTCACCTGTCAGTAAATCACATTACTCACCCAGCCCCACTGGGCTAGTAAAATTTTGCAAAGTTGCCTTAATACTTTCAGAAAGAAATATCAACCTTTGTAACCAAGGGAAGATAAATTCCCTGAGCTGAACTTGATGCTTTGCATTAGTGAGTCTTATGAAAAGATGTTGCTAGAAATGAAAGCACTTACCTGCCTTTGAAGAACAGTATTTCCCCACGAAGAGTGGTGATAGCATCAAAAGTCAAATGAGGGTCACAGTCCTCTGGTCTTGTGGGGGCTTTGGAGGGTGTAGTTTCTGTTGGTTCTTCGCGGGGTGACATTTCAGTTGGTGCTTCTGCAGGTGTCATTTCAGTTGGATCTTGTGGGGGAAATGCTTTTGTTGGAAGTGCAGAAGATTCCCTGGGGGGTCCTTTGGGAAGAAGATAAATGTGGAATTGAAAGGTGAATCAGAGTTTTTCATGTTGCAGAGCTTCAGGATGTACCATATGGAGCCAAACGTGTAGGTTTTTTAAGGTTAAAACTCAACTAGTAATGCCAGGGAAAGTTCCTGGGCAGTTTAACTTGGCTATCTGTGCTGCTGCTAAAATTATGTCTGCCATTGTTCTGTCTGAACAAGCTGTGGGTGTCTTAAACTGTACGTGCTCAGGGGATCATGTAGAGCACACACCGTTTCCAAAGGGCAGTTGTGCCTGTGACCACCCTTTTGTGGAAGATAAGAGAGTTTAATATTATGAACATGGACTGTTCTTCTGGTATAATTGGAGAAAGGCTCTTGGACCTTTTGGCTTACAGTCATGGATACAGCCCACCCACAGATCCCGTTTTGCAGATGTAGGCTCTTAGCCACAAAGAAACCAGGAGATATGCCCAAAAATAATATCTGGAAATTAAACCTCAGTATCGTTTTTTGCAGTAGAAAGTTCAGTACATTTTAGCCATTGGGTAAAGTTAATTATAAGTGCTTATCCATCATCTACAAAAAATAAAGCATCTTGCTCACCATAGAGGGCCTGAATGCCATCAATATCATCTTGAGGAAGCCTGTAGTCTCTTGTATCCCTGGCCATATATATAGGATACATCAAAGCACCGAAGACATTGGAATGACCAAGACCCAGTGAGTGGCCCAACTCATGAGCAGCAACGAGAAATAAATTGTATCCTAAAAAAGAAAAAAAAGCAGCACAAAGAACAAACACTAATTTTTTTTTGCATGACAGTGGGATACAGGTGCCATCCTCTCATGATTTATATATCATCTGCAGTCTTAATAAAACAGAAAAATCTAACTACGTCCCAAGTAAGACGTTCTCTAGCATCTTGGAGAATAAATTGGTTTTGAATTCTAACATTTATTTGTTTAGAAATCAATCTAGGGGACAGTTTAGGGAAATCAATCTGGGGACAGTTTTTGCTCGTGTTGCAGAAATTTTCCTGCCAACAAAGAATCAAAGATTCTTTAGTGTTAATAATGGCTGAAAACTGTGTTAGAACATTTTAGCCATCTGGTCAGATTTTGGTAATCATAAATGGCATGGAATTCACCTGCTAACTACTTCACAAAGACCAGTAAAATGTAACATCATCCTTGGACATTGCTGGAAACCAGAACACTTCACTATTATATTTAAATATATTTACAAACATACTCAAGATTTTTTAGGCATTTTTGTTGATTGAGAGTTTTTTTTTTCCTTTGCAGAAGTTAAAGATTCACATCAATTTAAATCAGAAAAAAAAATAAACAAAGGAAGTGAGAGCTTATTATTGTAACTTTCAAGGTTATTACCTGAGGGTGAGTATTCCCTGCCTTGTGATGACATGATTAATCAATATTACTTTTTCACGTTAATCTCATTGCCTTCACTGAAGCTGCAACTGCATTATGTGCATTAACCTCAGCCCAGGTCAAAATATGCAGAATCATTTTACTAAATTACACTATATTTTACATCTCAGTAAATACTGGAACTACTGCCATGGGATCTGGGACTTTACAGTGTCTCCAAGACAACACTGTCTAATGAAAAGCAGGCAACACAATATTGAAGGTTACCTACCTTGATAGGTAGTAAATTTGGTCCAGTTTTCATCTTCGTCAAAGTGGGCATCTCCTCCTATCCCACTGCTGGGGGGATAAGCATGAGCCAGAGTTCCTCCTGGACCATCAAAGGAATAGAAGTCACCGTGAACTAAAAAAAAATGGAAAAAACTAATGCTTTTCATCATCTTTGTAAGAATGACAAATACTTATTCCCAGGCAAGGGAGTCTCCTTACATCCAGCTGCAAAGGAGATCATGATATCTGCTTGACCACTGTAGATTCTGGTGAATCTCAAAGGGGTGACACTGCTCCAGAGCTGGAAGGCTTTTGCAATTGCTTCCTCTACATCAGCTTGTAACATGTCTGGAGTGTAGTTCAAAATCCTGTGAAATAAGGAGAAAGGAATTAAAAACAACCAGATCACATGTGGCTCGGGCACATAGTATCAAGGTCAAATGTTTTAACCATTGGATATTGTTATTTATATGTCTCAAGTTGTTTATTTTCAAATTATTTGCTTACACAGAGGCAGTTTTCATACTTTTCTTTCACGTCTTTCAGAAATTCTAACATATATACTCTCATTTGTGTCCCTTCTATCCACTGAGTATATTATTTAGTAGGCTGTTAACTAACTAATGTAAACTCCTATTTTGGTATTTTCATCACTGTTTTGAAGCCTAAAGCAAAGGATATGAATAGTCTGGACATTTGTGGTCCTTTCATTCTGAATGGGCTTTGATATGGATAAATACAGGAATAAATGGTAAAGAACCTGTTGGCATTGCTCCTGCCTAGCATTCACAAAGCTTCCCAACGGTGTACGGAGAAACATGCTTTAACATATGTTACCGATATGTCACATCTTCTTTCCTCCACCTAGGGCTCTGTGGGAAGGTGCTGTATGAACGGACATCTGGTATTCCACATCTAGGCTGCTTCATCAAGTCAAGTGTCTTAGGATTCAGCTCCCCAGTCACCTCTAGCCCAAAAAATGACTGCATTTCTCGGATTTTGTTGGCCATGTGATTGAGGTTCTTTGATTTAAAGAGAGAACTTTTCTCTTCTTTAAATTCATAAAAATTTTCCAGATATTTCTGATGGAGAAAAAAAACAACTGTTTAGAACATAAATAGTTCTTTTCAATTGCAGAGAGTTGTTAATAAAACATCCTACATCACTAATACATCACCACATTCATTTTCTCAATAAATTATTTCTTACATTCTGTCTGTAGTCCTTACCTTAGCCAACTGCATATCTTGTTTCTCCTTTTCTGGAACCACAGGGAAAGCACAAGAACACGCAACATATAGCAACCCAAGGAAAAGAAGGATCTTTGTCTTCATTTTTGCCTCCCTGTCCTATCAGTCCTTCCTTGCTAGATGACCTCTCAATCTCTTCTTCTTCTGTCCAGGGCTTACCAGTGTTTCTCTATTTATATCAGTGGCGTGCTTGCTAAAGTCAATAACTGCATGACTCAGTTTATAACATCCTCTGATTTCCCACACAAACACAGAAAACAAATTTGGTTTTAGAAGCAAGCTAACACATTACCAGTTTACCAAAACTCCCTGATTTCGCAATCATATTATTGGACATAATTTTTTTCCCCTCATTCCTCAACTGGACTAGCATCCAGATTACAAGTATCTAAATCTATAACCAGTCACCAAGATAAAAATCACCTCACCTCATTTTCCAGAGGTGCTAAAGGGACCTGGCTCTTTGTGAGGGACAGCAATCTGTAATTCCTTGTAGCATGTGATAAAAGACCTCAAGAAACTGACCCTCAGTTTTCTCAGTGTGGCATCCGTGCAGGACCCTGGCATGTCAGGGATGAACACCTTCCTTTAGCCCATCTTGTCCCTGATAATTTTAGTGACATAGCTGATTATTCAAATGACTTATTTAGCTCTTCTCCTGAACCTGAGATCTCAGCATAGTTACAGAACCATCACCTGTGCTGCTACCCAACCCGTGTAATCACAGATTTATGGCTGCACCCCCTTGCTCTCTCATACTTTCCCCAGGCAACCTCCCCATCACAGTGTAAAGGTCTCAGTAGAGCACCCCAGATCATGTATCCTGGTCTGTACAGCCTATTAGCCAAGGGCATTTTCACAACTAATGAAATGGCAGAAATTGCCGTAGAGAACTAGAGGCACCTTGGGGGGCACGGGGCTCTTCAGAGGAACATTTTACTAAAAGTCTCCAAAATCAATTGGAAGATGATGAGGATTTGAGCTGTAGAGTCCGAGTTTCTCAGTTTGCCAGAAGTTCTACTTTTGGTTCCTATGTCCTTTCCTGAATGTGATGCATTGCACTTTATTCAGGGATTGAGGAATCACTGTCACTCAGTTCTCTCTTTGCCTGTCATTTCTGAGACATTCGTCCTTTGAAGCAGAATTCTCCTGTGTTGACTTAGTGCCCAAATGCAAGTTCAAAAGGAAAAATGCAAGCTAAAAATAATCTACTTCTTTTTGAACATGAGAAAAAGAAGGGAAAGAAACCACTTTTCCAGTGAGAGCAAACATATTGAAAACTCCAAATAAACAACCCCAGCACCACAGCAGCTGAGCTTTGCAGTCTGTGAGGTGGCCTGGGGAAAAGGCATGGCCTCCTTCCAAAGGAAACGAGTTGAACTGGCCGGGTCACACTACATACATGACCCAGGTCAGAGCCCAGGTCCCTGAACTGCTGAGTTAGGTGGCACCAATGTTTATGTCTAAGGTTGCAGTGGGATGAGGGTGGCTATGCCAATACCTCACTGCTGGTGTAACTGCTTGCTCCGGCTCCTCCCTTTCTGCTCAGCACTACTGCTGTTTCCCTGTGCCCTTCTAGTGCCACATGTGCGCTCAGTGAACTGATTCAGAGGGCTGAAGCTATGGGAAAGCACCCAGAAAAATAACCCAAATCCTCCCAATAATAGTTTTCTGCTTGGGTTAGTGGCGGCCCTGGCTCCCTAAGGCATGACAAGAGCCCCCGAGCCAGCGTGAGGGAGGAGTGGGATGTCACGGAAGGAAAGGGGGTGCAGAGAAGTACTCAGGCATGAGGCTGGGATGCTAGGACCTCTCCTTTTGGCAGCTGCAACTTAAAAGATTGTCTCACCTGGTTAACTGGACAGCACCCCAAACTGCATTTGTAGATTATGGTGTCTGTGTTTCCGCAAAGAAATTCAGACACAAACCAGAGCCATTTTAAACACTGTGTTTGTATCTCTGCACCTAGCAGCAGCAGTTAGCATACAGCACTTATTCTCTTTGCTTTCAGCTAAATGTTTTGTAAACACTCTGCTTGCTGCATCCAGGGGATCTGGGGCGAAGCAGTCAGAGCAGCAAGATGCAGCACAACCAGTTGGCAAACATTTAAGCAAGCCTTTTTTAACATTTAGGAAGCTATTAGTTCCAATTGACATTTGAATGGCTGTCGATATGTTACAGCTCCTTTGGAGCTTTTGGCTTCCCCTTCCAGAGGCTGTTTTCTGCACGCTCAAGCTGACATTTATGGAGTGGCTGGTAAGTGCTGGTGGCGAGAGCTGGGTTTTGCCTTATGGATGTGTTTGGCAGCACAAGTGGGGAATATTCACAGCTGAGGCAGCCTGCATGGCTCTAAGATGTGTGAGTCTGTGCTTTTTCCTTGCATGCAGATCCAAGAGAGGACTTGCCTCCTTATGCTGACCCCAAAGACACCAGCAGCTTTTAGGGTTCTAACTACTACGGGTACTCAGTCCTGGTTTTAAGTATTACAGCATGCAAACAGGAACTGTGTTATGATTTTAATCAGAGGTTTAAAGTACTTGAAAAATATGTTGTCAGTGGACTTGGTAGAGATACGTCAGCAAAGACACATCTCTGATTTAAATGGGGTGAGCTCAACTGAAGAAATGACTGCACATGCCACTTTTGCCTTACTTTTACGTCTACCCTTACGTGTGCTTCAAGGGTGCCCAGAAGCGCTTTAATCTTGAAAGGCTGAGCAGGTCAGGTGCCTGTGTCATGCCTTGGCCCCACAGGTAACCCCAATAAGGCACTGATCTTCCCATCTGACCTGGGAGGCTGCTACCCTCTGTATCCCAAAGAGCTGTGCCCCACAGTCACCATTGCCTTTGAGCTGGGTTGGAGACTGCAAAGACTGCAGTGGTGACACTTGCCAGCTTCTGCAGCAGCAAAGCAGCCAGGACGGATCCCGGAATACTGCTCATTTCTTCCCTCAGCTCATTGGCACTCGGACTCATACGTCCCAGATCATCGGCAAGTGCCTTAATCACTGCACTCAGGGAGAAGAGTGGGTGCTTTCCCAGGAAGACCCCTGCAGTAGAACAGAGCATTTCCCTGAAAGTCTGCCAACATCCAGACTAATACTTCTCCACCACAGAACTGTTCGTCCTTGAACTATGTAATTCATATAATCCTGTGGGGTCTAGCCCAAGTACCAGGCATTTTAGCAGATTTGTCAAAATTTTACCTGGGAATTTTGCCATTTCTTGGTTTTATATGGTTGAAATTCCATCCAGGAGTGTCATACCAGTTCTGTGGCAGTTTTGACTTACGGAGAGAAGAAGTGGAAGGACACTTAACATAGTCATACAAACAATTGTCATTAACTCTTAAACAACTGCAAATTAAGTAAAAGGAAGCTTGAATAAGTAAACATGCACACACTATGATTTCACCTCCTAAATGTATAGAGGAACCTGTAGATGTCTTCTTTTCCACCTTCTCTTCACTTATACTGTTTCTAGGCTCTCCCCAGCTCTGACCTGCCTGTGCCAAAGAAGCAGGATGGGATATGAAGAACTTGGACATACCTAGACATGGAAGAATCTGCTGTTTTTTTCCACTTGAATGAGATTGGGAGATAAATTTATACAAGCAGGGTCTGGGACTTGAGGAACAATACCTGAACAATAAAAGACAGAAGCTGCTTACAACATTATATGGACCAGTCTTTGCTAAATAACAGCTAGATAATAGCAAAGTGGTTTGAGGAGGTAAGCAAGCAGAAAATATGACACATGAAGAAAAGGTAGGTCTACTATTAAAAGACCTGGGTAAACCAGAGAATATTTCCTGAAAATGAAACACACTCACTTTATCTTTGCAAGACAGCATTTTGAGAGTATTGAAACAAAGCCTGAAATAGGTACTGAATTGAATTCCACAATTTTGCCTGTATATCCATATACTTCCATTCATCAGTGGGATCTCTTCATCCTAGTTTTATAATATACAGTTGCTGCTAATAATTATATTAGTCATTTTTCTACTTCATCTGAGCATTTTGTCCAGGTTGGATTGCAAACTGATAGATAGCATGTAGAGAGAGCCTCAATGACTGATTTAATTAAAGAGGAATTCAGATTTTTTTTTAATGTCTGTATCCTCTCCTTGAGTATAATCAAAACCAACAAAGCTGAAATCACTTCTGCACTTGTATTTAGTGTATAAACAAGTTTCATAAGTTGCATGTCATTTCCTCTCAGCAATGTCTGTCTGACTTAGCTGCTTACAAAGCCATAGTCACAAAGTGATTGCAGTCCATCGGTGTTATATCACCCATCACTAAACAAGACATAGGCCAGAATTCAATGCCCAAGAATTCTGAGGTTCGAAGGAATTAAACCGGTATACAAAATTTTGAAATTCTGGCACCCTATAGATGATCCCATATTTCATAAGTGGCAATATATCAGGGCCATACTTTTAATTTAGACATGATCCTGAGCAATTTAGAACTGATTTTAGGCATGGCCCTCACATGGGTGATGTAGGAAGCACTGTGGTTGTGAGGCACAATTAATTCACTGTTTCCTTTTCACCATCCTGGCCCCTGCTAAATTCAGACTATGTCACTGCATGACCCCGCCTTTTCTTCTGAGGGAGAATGGTCAATAAAATGGTCTAAATGGTCAAGGACCTAAACCTGTGTGATTCTTATTCTGGTATAAAGGGTATCAACAAACTTCCTGATCTCTGATTTAGCAGTTAAGGTAATGGTCATTTAGCCTCAAGAAGATTTACTGTAGTTTATTAGTTTTACAGGACAAAAAACAAGTCCACGAATATGCTTTCCCATGTGCAATTGGTCAACCCATCTCTTAACAACTTCTTAAGCATTTGACTTAGATATTTCCGTAAGCCATATCGTTAATGTTATGTGTTAATGTTGTATGAACTTGATGGCAATGGTTTGGACTGAGTATTAGGAAGAGATCGGGATCTTTGCCATCTAAAGAGTCTCCAAACTTTTCTGGAATTCCTGTTGGTGGGGCTGGAAAAAACTTGCATCTTTAGTAATTTGACATCGAAGCCCTGACTAAGATATTCAGCCAAGATGCTAAGACTAC